AAGACCCCGCGCGCCGCTAAGTGCGCAGTCGGGTGGGAGCGAATGAGCGAGGGAGCTAGCAATCCCGGTGGGAGGGCCGCGTGCGACCCAGGCGGTACTTGGGTTGCTGGGGCTGCGGGGGTCAGTTCAAAGAGGCATCCGCTGGGGCTCGAGTTCACAGGAGGGACGATTTAATGGGCTGGCTTTTGTTGGTGGGTGTGTTTGTGTACCACAGATCCAGCAACTCCTGCGTGGGCGTCCCGCTTAGGGGCGGAGGTGAAGGAAGCTGGGAAACAGTAGCAAACTTTCAGTGCGGCAGGGGTTGAGGGTAGGGGTAGGGGTGTGAGCTGGGGGAGGTTGAGTATCAGTCTCTTGGCGGCTGCTGGCAGCTCGGCTCTCCCAGTAGCCGCGGGGTTCCAAGCTGGGAAGTTTGCAAAGCAGTTTCTTCCCAGGCGGGTGGCCCGCGAGCCCAGGAGGGTAGGTAGGTGAACAAGCCTAGAGCCACTTGGCGCCACGAGGAGTGGGGGGCTCCTGGATCGCCCCCAGGGCTCAACTATGGGATCGCAGCGCTTAACTGTTACTTCGCCTCGGGCGTTTTTTTTCAGCCATGGGGGATCTGCGCCCGTGGCTTGAGTCCAATTAGGTATTGAAGTTTTGTTTGTTTTGAAGCCTTAACATTATTTAGGTCATAGCCACAAATTCTTAACTCTTTGGCCTTCCACAGCACGGGTTGCTTAACTGGGCACACCTCGCGCCTTGCCTTCATTTAACAAGGAGTTTAACCTTCCTGTTGCTTGCACCTGCCATTATAGTAAGTACCTAGGTTACTAGTAAACCCACTAGGCGCCCGGTCCCCAGCATGCCTGTGCCTTTCTTCAGTCATCTACAACCCAGTCTTCCTCCCCAGAGCGGCCACCCGGCAGCTTTTGAAGTCAGGTGGCAGCAGAAAGCTGCTATTGTTCTTCACTCTCTACATGAAAAGATCAAACTTTGCCTCTCAATTTGGGAATTTTTTTTTTTTTTCTGGTCGTGGGGAGAAGGGATTGCAATCTGATACTCACAAAGCAAAATTTGAGGACTGGAAGCAGTCTCCTCACTGAAGCTTCCCACCAAACTCTAGATGCTCCAGCCCCTTCATCGGAAATAAGAGGGGTCACCATGGTCTTAGTTCCAAGCAGTGACAATGGTGGGAACCTGGTTTGGTGGCCAAGTTTTTCTTTGGAACGGGAAGTGCATTTCCTCACCTTGATTTAATTTTAACTGTAAACCTTCAAGTGGAACTGATACATAATGGGTTCAGCCCTAGGAAGGTGCCTTTATCTTATCCAGTCTACTCATGTCATGTCAAAAGCAAATAACATGTGCGTGACACACATGTCACCCAAGTGCAGTGTGGTGAGCTCCAGTAGTCGCTCCCTGATGCTGGATGGTGAGTGGAATTGTGCATGTCAGTGTCTGGTCCTCCTTTACATGGAAATGCCATGGGAACTCAGAGGACTGGAAAGGGCTGGGGGAGTGAGGGAAGCTTTGTCCAGGACCTAGTTAGCAGGGGTTTGAAGGAGCCCTTAAGGACCTATGGGATTTACACGTGGGAGAAAGGCAGAAGGCAGAGGAGAAAGGGAGCAGCTATAGGAAAGAGAAGTCCCCTTTCTGAGAGGAACTGAAGGATGCTGCTTAGAAGGGGGCCTTTGATTGCTGATGTAGGCAAGCTGGAGCCAGATTAGAGAAATATCCCCAGAACTATGTGTTGCAGACTCCTAGGCAGGTGAGAAATGGGAATCCCATTCCATCTCTGAAGCCTTCCCTGGGAGAGTTGGTGTCCAGGAAAGTTGATCTGCCAGGAAATGTCCAGGCATGAGATGAGGGAGGCTTTGACTGGGAGTTGGCAGTGGCACTGAAGGGGTGACTCAGCAGTTAAAGGGGCAAACAGCAAATGCAGTGATGGTTTGGAACAAGAGACAAAGTGAAAGGAAAACTCTAAAGGACTTCTCTTTTGATGGTAGGACAAGTAGATACCTTGTGTAGAATAAATTGGAGATGGATGGATGAGTATAGTACTAGAAAGGGAAGGAGCTACAGGGACACAGGTTGGTTAATGGGCAAAATTACAGTTACATAGTGGAAAAAGTTCTAGTGTTGTACAGGGCAATATGGTAACTAGAATGAACAACAGTTTAGTGCATATTTCAAAATGAAATGCTCCCAACATAAAAAAATGTAAATGTTTGACACACTAGATATGCTAATCACCTTGATTTTTTTCATTATGCACAGCATAAGTATATTGGATTATCATACTGTACCCCATAAACATGTTCACCCATGTAACAATTAAAATTTAATAAACATTATTTATCAGTTAAAATTTAAGAGATGAAGTTGGACATTTTCCTTACAACAGATACTCCAAATGAATCATAATTTTAGATTTTTAAACTATATTTTAAGCTATAAAACTCTTAGAAGAAAACAGAAGAGTAAATCATCATAACCTTTGGCTAAGCACATTCTTCTTGTTCAC